GCAATGTATATATGTATATTGACATCGACATTGTGACATTGAATTTTTAATTGTTCTATTGAACTAAATCAAAGTTCTTTGGTAGCTCACCTCTAAATCTTACAGAATAATTACTCAAATTGGCACTGTTAACGCAAACTTTGTGATTTTCGCCTTAAATAAAAACAAAAGTACTCATTTTAACATATTTCTGTCAATAAAATATGATTTCATAAATATACCTTTAAACTTATTCAAATCCTCAGTTAATTTGTAATCTCTTAATTCTATGAATACCAGATTAAACAAGCACCAAAAGACCGGCATTTTTGGCAACAAATTCAAGGGTTCTGCTGTTACTAACAGTTCTACAACTGTTAAATTTTTAGATGCTAAAAGCATATGTTGTTGTGCTGGTAACAGGAAAACAAGCGTGCGCTCAACAGCAAACAAATTTTGTTTTACAAATTTGTTTGATCAATAAACAGTATTTCGAGATTTTAACTTTGACAACAGTCACGGTACGGAAGCTGCTCGAAATTAAACAGAAATCATGAAAATCGAGGAGGTAAAAAGCACCGTGCGTACCCAGCGCATCGCAGCCCATAGCCACGTGAAGGGACTCGGCCTGGACGAGACCGGAGCAGCCATACAAAGTGCCGCTGGACTGGTTGGCCAGAAGGCAGCCCGCGAGGCGGCCGGCATCGTGGTGGATCTCATCAAGTCCAAAAAGATGGCTGGCCGTGCTCTGCTACTGGCCGGCCCACCCGGCACCGGCAAAACCGCCATCGCATTGGCCATTGCCCAGGAGCTGGGCAACAAGGTGCCTTTCTGCCCAATGGTCGGCTCTGAGGTGTTCAGCAATGAGATCAAGAAGACCGAGGTGCTCATGGAGAACTTCCGTCGCTCCATCGGGCTGCGCATACGCGAGACCAAAGAAGTCTACGAGGGCGAAGTGACCGAGTTGACTCCAGTAGAGACCGAGAACCCGATGGGTGGCTACGGCAAGACCATCAGCAACGTTGTGATTGGTTTGAAGACCGCCAAGGGTACCAAGCAGCTGAAGCTTGATCCGAGCATCTTTGATGCGCTACAAAAGGAGAAGGTTGAGGTGGGCGATGTCATCTACATTGAGGCCAACAGCGGTGCCGTGAAGCGCCAGGGACGCAGCGACACCTTTGCCACAGAGTTCGATTTGGAGACGGAGGAGTACGTGCCCTTGCCTAAAGGCGATGTGCACAAGAAGAAGGAAGTTATCCAGGATGTAACACTGCACGACCTGGATGTGGCCAATGCCCGCCCGCAGGGTGGCCAGGATGTGCTCTCCATGATGGGGCAGCTAATGAAGCCCAAGAAAACTGAAATCACAGGTAAATTGCTTTGAGTCTCTACACGATCTCAGGACTGACTAACGAATCTCTTGCAGACAAACTCCGCATGGAAATCAACAAAGTCGTCAACAAATACATTGATCAGGGCATTGCAGAGCTGGTGCCCGGCGTGCTGTTCATCGACGAGATACACATGCTGGACCTGGAGACCTTTACCTATTTGCACAAATCTCTGGAATCTCCCATTGCGCCCATTGTCATATTTGCCACCAACAGAGGCCGCTGTGTCATTCGGTGAGTCCCGTTTTCTTTCCATATTTCTGACCATTTAACAACTTTTCTCTGCAGTGGCACCACTGATATAGTCTCCCCTCATGGGATTCCCTTGGATCTGCTGGATCGCTTGCTCATCATTCGCACACTTCTCTACTCTACTTCGGATATGGAACAGATTATCAAATTGCGTGCTCAGACCGAGGGTCTCCAGCTGGAGGAAAATGCTTTCGCACATCTCAGTGAGATTGGAACAAGTTCCACTTTGCGCTATGCTGTCCAGCTGCTGACTCCGGCTCACCAGATGTGCAAGGTTAATGGGCGCAATCAGATCACTAAAGAGGATATTGAAGACGTGCATTCGCTGTTCTTGGACGCCAAGCGCTCCTCCAAGCATCTATCCGAAAAGAATAATAAGTTTATGTTGTAAGTTTACGCATGTAAAGCACAATTCCATGTTCACCGATACTTTAATAAATTTGCGAAACTATCGAGTCTAATCGGAGGCCATATATATCGATATTAGAAAACAGCTGCAATGTTCTCTGAGAGAGAGCTGGTTAACATTGCTACTGCTCGCTTAATATGCTCAAACTAGTGATGACAGATACACATAGAAGACAAGTCTGTTTCCAGCAGACGAGGAGCTTGAAATAAGCCGCGAAATCTTTCCCAAAACTAATCTGTTTACTTTCCATTATTATAACTAGTCAAACTGCCAAATCTGATATTTCTATTATCTGTATTTGAATCGATTGATTTTAACATTTGAGTGTCGTGATTGACTCTCGTGCTTTGTTGTTTCACGTGCGCACCGCTTCTCTGTTATCAAATATCTCTTATAAGAAACATTTAACAGAGATTTGTTCAGTAACATTTTATATTTCGGTGCGTGCTATGTGCTATTTGGCTACCGCTTGACGCTGTGTGCTTTAAATAATTTAAAATCGTACGCTCGTGTCAATAGTGTACGCTCACGCAGTAGCAGCACACATACACACGGTTAAAATAATTAAGTGTACAATTGTCGTTTAAAATAATCACAGAAATAGCAGTTTACGGTGAGAGCAAACACCGCCTCCAAAAACGCAACTAACCGTTATAGTTATTTACACATTACATATTTACCTACATACGCATACATATGTACGTGCATAC